CTGCTGAACCCCGGGGCCAGGCAGGATGGGGAGCAGGGCACTGGGAAAAGCAAGAAGGCTGTTGGCCACCTCTGTGCCGTGTCCTGCCGATGTGCTGCTCCCTGTGGGCATTTGCTCACAGCCTGCTATGCTGGCAGTGCTGCAGGGCGTCTCGCAGGGCCCGCAGCAGGCGGTCCACGTTGTCCTGGGTTGCGTTGTAGCCCATGAAGCCGATCCGCAGCACCTGGAGGAGAAGGGCAGGTTTCCCTGCAGCACCCACCTTCCGGCCTCATGTGGGGCACACAACAAGCTGTATGGGCACACGTGTGAGCGTCCCAGTCTGTTCCTATTTAACCCTCATTTCCTCTCTGTCATGATAAAGATACGTTACCCTACTAATTAATTATGTGTGCAGCTACTCAATTATGTGCAATTCTACGTGGCAAGGAGTGTTGCTGCACAGGCAGCAGGATGCACAGCCCTGTATCAATTTCGTGTTGCACTGCTGATGGCCACAGCCTCGTGTTGACTTAGGGAAGGGGAGCACACTGCCCACCTTGCCTGCAGTGGGGCCTAGGCCCCCAGCGATCTCAATGCTGTGTTTATCCATCAGGAAGTCTGTGATCTCCTTCCAGTTGTAGCCTTCAGGCACCCTGATGGTGGTGACAGTGGGCAGCCGCGCTGCCTGGGGAGGAAAGGCACAGGGTTGGAGCCGCATCTCCTATCCGCTTCCCCAGACTGGGGTCCCTCTGCAGCACCAGGGAAGCTCTGAGCTGTGCAGGGCTGTGCCCAGATCCTGCACTTACTTCCTCCTTCACGAAGAGCTCCAGCCCCAGATCCTGCAGCCCCTGGCACAGGCGGGTGTAGACAGCCCGGTGCTGCTCCCACGAGTTCTCCAGGCCCTGGCAGCACAGAATAGATGTCCCCTGCCTGAATGTCCCATGCCACCACCAACAGCTGGGCAACATCTGCTCCTCAAACCCTGATGTAACACAGGCATGGCCCAGCTCAGCTGTCCCTGTGCCCAGCTCACCTGCTCTGCCAGCATGGCCAAGGCCTCCCGCAGGCAGAAGATGCTGCTGATGGGCACCGTGTGGTGGTACCTGCAAAATTCAGGGGTCCCCAGGGCAGGTTCAGCCCCTGTGAGCCCCTCGGGCAGGCACATGGTTCTGTGAGGTGGGGAGAGGTGGGGAGCAATGGCAGAGCTCCACAATTCCTGGGGAGGGGACCTGGGCAGAGATGCAAAGCTGGGGCAAAGGGGCTGTTTTGGGAGTAAGGAGAAGAAATGCAAATGGAGCAAAGCAATTGGATAAGGTGGGGGGCTTTGGGGACAAGGGAGGATAGATTTAGGGTTAGGGTTAGTTATGTGGTGGGACAGCCACAGCCTCCTGTCTGGGTACAGCCTGCCCTCACATGCGTGGCTCGCCATTGCAGCCCCAGTAGTTTGCCAGATAGCCCATGTCCAGGTAGAAGGATGGGGGCCTCGTCTTCCTCCTCAGCATCTTCTCCCTGGCAGAACGCAGGGCTTGAGTGCTGCCCCGTGGAAGGGAAAGCCCTCTACCCACTGCTGTCCCTGGAGCATGGAGCCCAAAGCAAGCACTGGGTTGGCATTGCAGCCAGGGGATGTGGCCAAGGAGGAGGTCCTGAAGCTACCTGTGCCCCCGGCCCTGCTGGGACGGGGCTGCCCTTACCTTGCTCGCTCACTGAATGAGATGGGAGAGCTGCCAGGGGGGGCACTGAGGACTTTCTGGGACCCCGTGTACAGTACATCAATCCCTGCATGGGAGAGACCAAGGGCTCTGAGCAGGACTCTGTGTCCCATTGCCAGTGGGAAACACAGGGCACACAGCACATATGCTGGTGTGGGGGCACACAGGGACCCCTGTGCCACACTAGCACTGCGGCTCTCACCCTGCTGGTCCATGAGGATGGGCGCTCCCCCGAGCGATGCCACTGCATCCACAAGCAGCAGGCAGCTGTGCCTGGAGGGAGACAGAGCTCAGCCCCACAGTCCCCTGCAGCCCAGCCCTGGTGGGGTCCCCAGGCACACTGACCGGTGGCACAGCTCGCCCAGACCCTCCAGCGGCTGCAGGACCCCCGTGGAGGACTCGCCATGGGTGATGAAGATCACTGAGGGTTTGTGCTGTACCAGGCCCTAGTGGGAACAGCGAGGTGAGTGCCCAGAGGGGGCTCAGTCCCGGCACCCCACGGGTGGCACACACCTCCTGAATGTCCTGCAGGGTGAAGTACTCGCCCAGAGGCTTCAGCAGCTCATGGACCTTGGCTCCTGGGTGTGCAGAGGGATGGGGAGTTTTGGGCAAGCATTATCGGGGGTCTGCCATAAACCACCCTGAGGGTGCCACCCCATAAAACCCGAGCTCTCTGCTGTTTCCCATCACCTGGGTGGGAGCAGCGGGCCCCCTGCTGCAGGGCTCACGCTGTCACCTCGCCCATAAGCAATCATACCCAGCCTCCTGGCGATGTCAGCTGCGCGCTGTCCCCAGATGCCGTTGACGCCCACCAGCACAGTGTCACTGCTCTCCAGCAGGTTGGTGAGGGCAGCCTCCATGGCGCAGTGCCCGCTGCCGCTGATGGCCAACGTGAGTCGGTTCTGTGTCTGGAAGGCATACTGGATGCCCGCCTTGATCTCATCCATCACCTGAGATGAGGACCAGCACCGCTGTCAGCCCTGCAATGCAGGAGGTGTGGGCAGCCTGGCAGAGCCACTCACCTGCAGCACCTCGGGGTGCATGTGGCCCAGGATCTGCTGGCCACCGGCTGCCCGCACTCGGGGGGACACATTGCTGGGCCCCGGCCCCAGCAGCAGCCGGTGGGGCACGGCCAGCGGCCGCAGCAGCTCCCGAGGTGGGGGAACACGAGGTGCAGAAGCAGCCATGGCACAGCCAGCTGCACTGCGAGCCCGCAGGAGAGCAGCGGTGGATATCGGCAGCACTGCGGCACGGTGCATCCCCTGCCCACGGCTCCACGGACACTGACCGCCGGACTCTGCCCCCGCCGCCTCCCATCCAGTTAATGTGCCACCAGCAGCACAGTGTGCTCAGCAGTGTCCTCTTGGGGTGGTCATGGGATGCAGTGCCTCACACAGGGCTCCGTCAGCCGTATCGGGGCCGTAGCGAGGAATGTTGTCACTGAGGATAAGGCTGAGGTTCTCAATGCCTTCTTTACGTCTGTCTTTAATAGTCAGGCCAGTAAAACTCAAGGTATTCAGCCCCCTGGGTGTGGGGAGCAGAACAAAACCCCACATTCAGAAGGAAACAGCAACCTGCTGCCTCACCTGGGCTGTACCAAGTCTGTGGGGCTGTTGGGACCCACCTGGGATTGCTGAGAGAGCTGGTAAGGTGCTTGCCAAGCTGCTTTCCATCATCTTATCAGTGGTCCTGGTCAGCTGGGGAGGTCTCAGGTGACTGAAGACTGCTAATGTGACACACACCTACAAGAAGGGTCATAAGGAGGATCTGGGGATGTGTCACAGATGTGTCTGCCTGAACTCAGCGCCAGGGAAGGTTGAGGAGCAGATCACTGAGTGAGATCAGATGGCATATGCAGGACAACCGGGGGATCAGGCCCAGCCAGCATGGCTTCATGACAGGCAGGTCCTGTCTAAACAACCTGATCTCCTATGACCGGCTGACCCAGGTGGTGGATGAGGGAAAGGCTGCGGATGTAATCTACGTAGACTTCAGCAAAGCCTTTGGCTCTCTCCCACAGCATTCTCCTGGAGAAGCAACAGCAGTGACTGGGACAGGTACATGTGTTGTGGGGTAAAGAACTGGAGAGCTGGGCCCAGGGAGTGGTGGTGGATGGACTGAGATCCAGCTGGCAGCTGGTCGTGGGTGGCGTTCCAGGTGGTCATGACCAGGCAGCTGGTCATGGGTGGTGTTGGTCCTAGGAGCCGTGCTGTTCAATGTCTTTATTTGTGATCTGGACGAGGGGATGGAGTGCACCCTCAGTAGGCTTGCAGATGACACCAAGTTGGGGGCAGCGTCCATCTGCCTGGGGGTAGGAAGGCCCTGCAGAGGGACCTGGACAGGTTGGATCACTGGGCTGAGGCCAGTGGGAGGAAGGTCAACAAGACCAAATGCCAGATCCTGCACTTTGGCCACAACAACGCAGGGCAATGCCACAGGCTTGGGGCAGAGTGGGTGGAAAGCTGCGGGGAGCAAAAACACCTGGGGCTGTTGGCTCAGGGGGAACATCACTGCTCTCTGCCGCTCCCTGAGAGGAGGCTGTAGTGAGGGGAGGGACTGGCCTCTGCTCTGGGTAACAGAAATGGGATGAGAGGTGATGGCCTCGAGCTGTACCAGGTTGGGTATTAGGAAACATTTCTTCTCAGAAAGAGCAGTGAGGCACTGGCACAGCTGCACAGGGAGGTGGGGTCACCGTCCCTGGAGGTGTCCGAGAAGAGGCTGGATGTCACGCTGAGGGACGTGGTCAGCCGTCACAGGTGCCGGTTGGTGGTTGGGCTGAATGATATTATTGGTGGTTCCAACCTTAATTATTCTACGATCTTATGATTCTGTGGCACTCACGGGGCTGGGACAAGGGGTGCGCATGGCACCGAGTCCCGGCATCACCGCCCGGCCCACGGCCTCTCCTGCCCGTCCCCGGGGAGCCCTCCGGCTCGGCTGCACACGGGACCGGGCGGGGGCCCGCAGCCCCCCCGGGTCAGGCAGCCGACAGGGCGGAGGCTCCGCGCACGGGGAGGGGGGGCGGTTGCCGTGGCGCCTGTTGCCGAGCGACGGTTGCCAGGCGCCCGTTGCCGAGGTGCCGGTTGCCATGGTGACGCGGGTCCCGCCTCTCCCCGCGCCCTTGCGGCGGATCCGCAGCGCGGGGCCGGGGGTGGTGTTGGGGTGGGATGCGGTGACGTCACCGCCCCGGGCGGCGGCGGCCAATGGGAGCGCGGGGGTGAGGCGGGGCAGGGCGGGACCGCAGGGGCGGGGCCGACACCGCCCGCACCGGCATCGGCATCGGCAGCGGTACCGGTAGCGGCATCCCCACCGGCGCCGGCCCCATGCCGGTGCTGAGCGGCTGAGCGCAGCGCCCCGCCGCCCACGGGCACAGGTAGGGGCGGCGGCACCGGCACCGCGCGGGACCCCTTCGGGAGGGGCTGCGGCCGCCGCCCCGTCGGGGCGCAGAGGGGCAGCGGGGGGCTGCGGGCTGCTGTCCGCCGCCGTGCGGGCACGGGGCGGGGGGGGCAGAGGGCACGGCGGGCACGGCGGGCACGGAGCCGCCGCGGCGTCCCCCAGCAGCCGGCGGGGGGGGGGGGGGCGATGCCCCGGGGGCGGCAGGTGCGGGGCTGCGGGGCTCCTGCGCCGTCATCGTTACGCTTCGGGGCGAAACGGCGGCGGCCCCGGGAGGCGGCGGAGATCCGCGCGTGGCACCGCTGACCTTGGGGCGGCCGCCGCGTCCCCGCGGACAGCGCTGGCGGCTTCGGACGGTGGGAGGGGGCGGCTGGCACGGAGCTCGGCCGCCCCTTTGTCCTCCTCCCCCGGCCCCGCGCTGCCCTCCATCTTGGCTGAGGTGGCACAGCGGTGGCCGCAGCTCCCCGCGGGCCCGCAGCCTTCGCATCACCACCTGCACGTTGTATTCGATCCGCGTTGCGGAGCTGCGATGCCCCGACACCCGAGAGGGGCAGGGCAGGTGGCACAGAGCATGGCATGCAGCCACCAGCCCTGAGTGCCCCCTCGGAGCTCAGGGATGGGCGATCCCAGCCCGCCTGCGCTGCATGCTGAAAACTGCACCGTCACGGCCCTTGTGCAAGGCTGGGCTGGGGACGCGAGATGGGTGTCCTAATGAATGTGACTGGGAACAATAGCCCTTCCCCAGGGTTTTTGGCTGGCCTGGGACAGGTGGAGGTCAGAGAGATGCCACAGCTACCATCCATCAGAAAGGAAAAGTGATCCCAGGGGCCGGGCGGCTGACAGAGGCACAAGGCTCTTACACTGACCTGGGAGGGGCAGGTGGCAAGGCCCCGGATGTGTCATGTCATTGAGGTAGTGGGAAGCAGTCCTCAGCCCCATAGGGTGTGACCCCAGCAGGAGGGAACCCGTGGGGATGTGGGGCAGCAGAACACCCAACGCTTTGTGGTTGATGTCATCAGAACCACAGCATCCTCCAGGGGATGGGTTTCTGCTGAAGGTGGCATGGTGATCCTGCAGCATCCTGATGGGATGGGATGAGAAAGGATGGTGGCAGGGCATCCTGCTGTCACCTTGATGGGATGGCAGCACGGGGTGTGGCAGCGCCGCCTTGGGTTTATCTAATCCCTTCATCTAATCCCCGCTCAATTAATCTTGGCTGATCCCATTAATTGTTGCTCTGTGGCCATCGGGCTGCTCCTGCGATGGAGCTCTGCGGGGAGGGGATGCGCTGGGGACACGACAGCCACGTGAGAGCCTCCCTCCCTGCTTCCCACCCGCTGGACCGCTCCCAGCGGCGCCGGCCTTGCGTTATCGGATTTCTCTCGAAGGCAGCGGATTAGGCAGGCAGTGGCCCCAGGCACAGGGATTGGGCCGGGAGGGGATGGCAGCAAGGAAATGAAATGGACGGAGTTGCTCCGAGACAGAAAATGGAGCCCGGCGCCTTGGCGTGGCTCTGCGGTAGCTTGTTCTTTCCCTTTGGTCACATTTATTTTTTATATCCCTCGATCCAAGGAAGCAGCAGGATGGGGGATGCAGAGGCGTGTGTGCATCGTGCTCACTGGGCCCAGGGTGCTGCTGGCAATGCGCTGGAAATAGAGCTGAGTGCAGCCTGAGAACAGGTGCTGGGGCTTGGCATCCAGTGGGATGCAGTGAGTGGGGTTTTGGTAAGCCCAAGCAGCCATGCACTCCTCCTGCAGGGATGCAGTGCACCTTTAACACGGGCAAAGCATTCCCCAAAGGCAGCACCACATTTGTCGTGCCTTCTGGCTGTGGATTTCTCACTGCACCACGCACATACCCACCCTTGGGCAGAGTATCGTGGATTTTGCCTCCCCTTGGACTAACACCCAAAGGGTTTTAAAGCGGTGCCCTTCTCTCGGGACCGTCCTGTGGGTTTTCTTCTGCCCTTTCTTCGTTTTCCACAAACTGAGCTGTTCTTTTTCCATGTGAAAGCCCATTCTGTGTTCAGGGCCCAACACACCGCTCTGGCTTCTGACATCCGAGGAAGCGAAGTGGGACTGGCGCTCGTCCATTTGCACCTCCCTGGGGCAAGCATCCCAAGGCCCCTGCTGCATTCCTGGGAGCCACTGGGGCCCTGCTGGCAGGGTTGCCCTTTGCTGCTGAGACCATTGATTGCTGGCTTAGTGAGATGGAGCAGAAAATAGCTATTGAGTGCACAGGGCAGGGCAGCAGCCAACCATGGGGCACTGAGAAACCGCAATGTTTTTGTGCAATGCCCTCCTCCCACTGTCTGCCCTCGAGTCAAAGGGTTTTCCTCCCTTTTGGGCTGGGGGCTGGAAGCTGTGTGGATGGGCACATGAAGGGCAAAGGGGTGCTCACTCCATGGGATCAGCACCTCGAGGTGAGACAGCTGTCCTGCCCCCACCTGCAGGCGCCGTGTCCCCTTCCATCCAAGGGATGCTGCAGGTGGCTGGGTGATGCTCTTGGCTCACCTCGACTCAGGGCCCGGAGGTGGGAGCTCCCCTAACTCCTCCTTCTCGCCCCACAGGACAGCTCCGTTAGCAGCACCCATCCCAGCCGGCGCCATGGCGGGAGCATCCGTCAAAGTGGCGGTGCGTGTGCGGCCCTTCAACTCCCGCGAGATGAGCCGGGAGTCCAAATGCATCATCCAGATGTCAGGAAGCACCACCAGTGAGTATGGCATCGTGAGCCCCCCGTGCACTGCGGGAGCGGGGTTTGCTCGGCTTGCAGGGAGCAGAGCAGGGGTTGACACCACGCGATGGTGGGGAAACGGTGCCCTACATCCCTCCTCTTTGGCTCTGGAAGCATGCAGATGGGACAGCACCTAAAATAACTCCCAGCTCCCTGCGTCACTGGCAGAGCCGGTGCCAGCCACCCCCATGGCACACACCGCCAGCAAAGGACGCTGCAGCGTGACGTGTGGGGACGTCTGGCAGGTCCCGGTGTGGGCAGTGCAGCTCCCGCCGGCCCTTTGCTGACGGCGAGCTTTTCCTCGCCCGCGGCGTCAGGCGATGAATGAACAAAGCATGGGCTGATCCCACTGGGGGGGGCTGTGTGGGGCCGCGCTGCTCCTGGAGTCGTGCTGAGCCCCTCTCGCCGATGGAGCGTGACGGCCTGGGGCAGCCCCTGCCCGGCAGCGAAGCCGAAGCTGAATGCGGTTGGTGGGGCGGAAGGTCCTCTCGCAGCCTCTCCCCCTCCCCAGGGTCAGCTGCAGAATGGTGTAGCGGCGCGGCTCTGCGCTCTGCATAACTCATTCAGCAGAATTCATCGCGCCCTGCTGGGTGCAGGGCAGGGGGATGGGAGCGGAGGAGCCAGTCCTTCCCGCAGCCCTTGTTCCCCAATTTCCAGCCCCCCTCCCTCATACTTCTTGGCTCACGGTGACCTACCCTGCCTGCCAACACTGCTGCTTTGTTCCACTGCAGCATTGCCACGGGGACCCCGGCCTCCTTCCCACAGCCCATTGCCATTCCTGAGGGCAGCGTGGCACTGAATAGCCACGGGCTGGGGCTGGAGGAGCCCTGCAGGCACTGCCGCCCACGGTGCTTTTCCAGGTGCTTCCCCACACTGATGTCTGCTCTCTGGAGCTTTATCCCAGCCTGAGGCCTGACATCTCTGTTGTCATGGCAAAACATGGGGCTTCAAAATATGGGGATTAATTTCATTCTGCTTTGTCCAGTTCAGTACTTATGTGTGGCAAAGATAAGCGACATCTCCAGATGCTCTCCTCCTCCCTCTTGCCCGTACCTTTTTCTCCCCATCATAGAATCATAGAGGTTGGAAAAGACCTCCGAGAATGTCCAGCACGTCCATCTCCTTGGTGGCAAATAACCAGGGTGAAAAAAGGGGCATGGAGAGCATCTCAGCTTAGGGGATGGGACAGGATGGGAGACCCACAGAGCCGCAGTGCATTTCCCCATTTCCCAGCCACTGGCCATGCTGGGGCCGTGCCCCCCCCCGCCAGCTGGGTATCTGCAGCTGGGACACACAGAGCTGCTTGGTGCCATCCCCGCTGCTCCCAGCCCTGCGCCCGGCACTGACAGCACTGCGACATGCAGCGTCCTTTCCATGCCAGCTCCTTCTCACTGCAGGTCTTGGTCCTGACCCCTCCTTTGTCACCTTTGTGGTGACAGGTCAAGGACACGCTGCCAATTCAGTATGGCAAAGCCCGTTCCCTAGCGACCCCGCTGTTCATGAGAAGACTTCATCATTAATTTAGGACCTGGGTTGTATCAAGCACAGCAGTGGTTGTGGTGTCCTCATGTTTGCACTGGGTGCTTTCTCACCCCATTCCAAACTTGGAGCACTTGGGGTGATTGTGCCATGTGGGCAGAGCTGCAGTCACCTGCGTGGGGCAGGCGGATGGGCGATGGGATGGCGATGGGGCATCCTCCTCTGGGGGAGATCCATTGGAATTTGGGCTGAAGAACCCATTGAAATTTGAGTTGCAGAACCCACTGGGATTGGGGTTGCAGAACCCACCATGGTTTGTGCAGCACCCTCCCAGCTGCTCAGTAAGCTCCCAGCCCCGCAGCAGTGACAGGGAGCACTGTGGTCCCACTGCCACCGCTGCATGCTGGCAGAGCTCTTCGTGGGGGCTGGGTGCCCCACGCTGGGGGCTGTTTCCCCCCCTCCCCACACAGCCCTGCGCATGTTGCAAGGGCATCTCAATGTCAGCGGCGATTGCTGAGCGCTGCGTCCCGTGACTGCCCTCCTGGTTTGGGTTTCTTCTGACGCATCTCTATGAGTGTCGGTTATTTCAGAAGAAAATAAAAAGCATCATAAACACTCCACGGGGTGGGGGAGGAAAAAAAAAAAAAAGAAAAAAAAGCGTTGAGCAAGTGAGAAAGAGAAGTGATGCAGTCTCTAATTTCCATGGCAACATCCTTTTCACCAGGGGATGGGAAAAAGCAGGCTCTTGTTTCTGCTGGCGGTTTAACACAGGGCATTAATCACCCTGCTGCTGCAGGGAGGATAAGGTACCAAAATAAAGCAGTGAGCAGGAGGGGGCTGGGAGCACTGCTCCAAGTCCCCAAGGGTGGCTGTAGGGGGTCGGGGCTGTGACCCTGAGCTGTCCCCACGGTGTAATGGGGCAGGAGGGAGCCCAATAGAGGGAGCCGCTCACCCGCACAAGGCTTTGCCCTCCTGCCTGTCCCCAGTTTCCATCCCAATGGGGATATAGGAATGAGCCCATTGCAGCCCACTCGGTTGTGGGATGTGGTGCTGCCACCTGGTTTCATCACATCTCTCTCTGTCTGCCCCCAGCTATCCTGAACCCGAAGCAGCCCAAAGAGACACCCAAAAGCTTCAGCTTTGACTATTCCTACTGGTCCCACACCACGGTAAGCAGCAGGGGGCCCGAACCCAGCTGAAGTGGGATGCAGCAGGATGACCTCTTTCTCTGATTCCTTCTCTCCTTCCTCCTCTCCACAGCCTGCAGACATCAATTATGCATCTCAGAAGCAGGTGTACCGTGACATCGGCGAGGAGATGTTGCAGCATGCCTTCGAAGGCTACAACGTCTGCATCTTTGCCTATGGGCAGACTGGTGCTGGCAAATCCTACACCATGATGGGGAAGCAGGAGAAGGACCAGCAAGGCATCATCCCACAGGTACTGCCTGGTGAATCGTAGAATCATTCAGGTTGGAAAAGATCCCTCAGAGTCCCAAGTCCAATCCCAGCCCACCTTACTGTGCCCACTGCCCACGTCCCTCAGTGCCACATCTCTGCAGCTCTGACCGCCTCCAGGGATGGTGACTGCCCACCTCCCTGTGCAGCTGTGCAGTGCCTCACTGCTCTTTCTGAGAAGAAATCCTTCCTAATACCCAACCTGAAAAACTGTCTCACACCTGAGCAGGATGCCCAAGGAAGAAGTCAGAGGGAGGGACAAGCCGGGGAGATGATCTGTGGGTCACGGGGACTGCAGAGCATCCCTCTGCCCGGGGCTGAGCATCCCAACTCTTCTCTCTGCAGCTGTGTGAGGACCTCTTCTCCCGCATCAATGACACAACCAATGACAACATGTCCTACTCCGTGGAGGTAGGCACATCTCCTCCTGGGAGTGGGACGCTGGAGGCCCTGCGAGTTGGCCGTGTACCAACATCATTAATTCCAAGTGAAACTCAGAGCCCTGTGCATGCTGTCCCCAGGTGAGCTACATGGAGATCTACTGCGAGCGGGTGAGAGACCTCCTGAACCCCAAGAACAAGGGGAACCTGCGGGTGAGAGAGCACCCCCTCATGGGTCCCTATGTGGAGGACCTTTCCAAGCTGGCCGTGACCTCCTACAATGACATCCAGGACCTGATGGACTCGGGGAACAAGGCCCGGTGAGTGGGGTGAAGGAGAGCACTGGGACTTGAAGAGCTTGCAGGCACCTCAAGATATTTGTGCATGGGCTGAAGTTGGCTGAAAAGCTTTCCCTGGTGCTGGGGGCAGGGTGAGAGTTTGGTGCCTCTCTGCTTCTCTAGAAAGGAGGCAAGATATGATCTGCCTTGACTGCACTGCCCCATAATTGTCCCCAGTATCACTGCTCTGGCATCCCCTGCGGAGTGTCATGCCTTCTGTCCTCTCCCCACAGCACGGTGGCTGCCACCAACATGAATGAGACCAGCAGTCGTTCGCACGCTGTCTTCAATATCATCTTCACCCAGAAGCGGCACGATGCCGAGACGGACATCACCACTGAGAAGGTGAGAGCAGAGCCCCTGGGAAACCCGAGAGGACACAGCGAGGGCTTTTTGTGCCACTGTTGGCCACGGAGAGCAACTGGGAAGGTGCTGGGTGTTGGGTACCGGTGTGTTGAACATGTGCAGAGCCTGCTACAGCTGTCAGCTCTGTCTCTGCCTGCAGGTCAGCAAAATCAGCCTGGTGGACCTGGCTGGCAGTGAGCGAGCTGACTCAACCGGCGCGAAGGGCACAAGGCTGAAGGTGAGTGTGGAATGGTGGTGGTGCCAGGCCCCTCATCCCCAGGTGTTCCTTGTCCTTTTCCCACACATTGCACTGGACACTGACACTTTTTGAGTTGCCCAGTGCCAGGTCAAGCAGGATCCACAGGCTCCACTTGAGAGTTGCTGGTTGCCCAGTAAGACCAGCTGCTGTTTGCACACCCTGCACCGGGGCTTCCTCATCCTCCTTGGCTGCTGGGCTTTAGCTCTGCTCTGAAACAGGGTCTAATGATTTGGGCTTTTCTCTCTATCAGGAAGGAGCAAACATCAACAAGTCCTTGACCACACTGGGAAAAGTCATCTCTGCTCTGGCTGAAATGGTAGGTAGCCTGAGTGTGGGGAAACAGCCCCATGGAGCACCCAAATTCCCATCTCTAAGGGAGGTTGGGCACCCAAGCTCTCAGATATGAAGCACCCAAGCTCCCATCTCCAAAGCGGATGCAGAACCTAGACTCCCAGCTCTCAGGGATGGGCAGATATATCCCAACCTATCCTGCACTGCCCAGCCCCCTTGGCTGGAGCCAGCTCGTTCTTGGGATCCCATGCTGGGTGAAGAGATGGGGAGCAGCTTACTGTCACCTCCCTCCCCCGCTCCTTTCTATTTGCAACAGAGCTAAACAATTTTTCTGCTTTCTTTGCAGGATTCGGGGCCAAATAAGGTGCGTGCTCTGATGGGGCTGGGTGGGTTTGTCTCTTGAGGAGTGGAAGTGGGTTGTGCGGTGGTATGAGTTGAGCCCTGTAGGGGTGAGACACTATGGACCCAACTCACGCTTCTCTTGTGGGTTAGGCTGATCCCTCAGCATCTTGGCCAATGCATGACTCTTGTTAGACACCTCCTAGTCCTTGCAGTGCATTTTGAAGGCGGGATCTGAACATTTCAGCAAAAAAGAGAGCAGGCAGTCTGACAGCCTGACCTTCTGCTCCCTCTCCCCAGAACAAGAAGAAAAAGAAAACAGATTTCATCCCATACCGGGACTCAGTGCTGACCTGGCTGCTAAGGGAGAACCTGGGTGAGGCTGCAAGGCTGTGTGGGGTCTGGGGGGTATGGCTTGGGGGGGACCACAGCTCACTGAAACGTTATGTCTGTCTGAACAGGAGGCAACTCCAGGACGGCCATGGTCGCTGCGCTCAGCCCTGCTGACATCAACTACGATGAGACGCTCAGCACATTAAGGTAGGCTTTGGCAGGAGGTCCGGGGTCGGGTAGGTCTCCAAAGACCAGCTGCTCCCTCGTGCTCTGAGTCCCTTCCCTTCAGCAGGGAAGAGGTGAGGGCTGCCTGCAGGCCGCTACAAGAGGGACAATGCCCTGCCACGGGTCCTCTGGCCGAACCACCCTTCTCAGGGCCCTGTCTCTCCCCAGATATGCCGACCGCGCCAAGCAGATCCGCTGCAATGCTGTCATCAACGAGGACCCCAACAACAAGCTGATCCGGGAGCTGAAGGATGAGGTGGCCCGCCTGCGTGACCTTCTCTATGCCCAGGGGCTCGGGGACATCATTGACAGTAGGTACCACGCCGCGCACAGCCAGGCTCTGGGATCTTGTGGGGATGCTCCCAGAGCTGCCCCATGTCCTGCTCCACACTCAGACCATCTCATTGCCCACCTCACTGTGAGGAATGGCACGTCCCCTCCTTGTCACCACCCTGCTGGGACATCTGTGACCAGCCCCGCATATGCCATTCCAGAGCCCTCCTCACCCCACAGTCTGTGTCCCACTGCCTGGGATGATGCTGGGGGCCCCAAGGCCTCTCCTCCCCGTGCTTTCAGGCTGTTGTCAATCCTACCTAGATGAACCCACTCTTGTTCTGTTTTCTTTGTCTTCTTCCCCCCGCTGTCTCTCTCTCTTAGCCCACCCTGCTGCGGGAGGATCCAAATGTGTGTATTGCCTGTCACTGGTACTCTGTGTTGCTTCTCTGCTTTGGGTAGGCTGTGCCAAGGAGCATTTGTGCAGCATGGGGAAGAGCTCCCACAGCTGCTCCCAGGGCGCTGGCAAAGGGCAAACTGGGCAGAGCCCAGTGCTCTCCCGCAGGAATGGTTGGCACAAGGGTATCCCTGCACTGCCATCATGCCCTTCCCTTGTGCAGGGCACACTTAGTGCAGTGTGAGGTCCTGCAAATTCATCTGGTGGGACCTGGTGTTACAGTCACCGCAAGGACTCTTTTCCCCATGCTGTAACTATGCTTCTCCTTGCTGCTGCTGCTGCTGCTGCTGCTGGGCTGATTGCTGCTTCTGGCACTGCTTCTGAAGGCATGGGCTCTGCTCCCAGGGCAAACTGGTGCCAGGCAGGCATGGTGTGATGTGGGTGGCCTTGGGACACCTCGGAGACTGGTTCTGCTGAGGATCATCCTGGGGACAGCAGAGGAACAGGGTGAATTCAAGGTGGAGACTTCACCAAGTAATGGGGCTTCTGTCCCCAAGCAGCCAGAGGGTGACACCATCTCTCCTGGTAGTGCCTGGGCAGACGAAACGGTTCTCTCCCTAGAAGCTGGCTGGCTCCTAGGAGCAGGGAGGATTGGAGTGGCCAGCATCCCTGGAGAGGGGATGTTGACTCATCCACATGGATTGCACAGCAGCAGCAGCTGCAAGCATCCTGCTGGGAGATGAGACCAGCAGCTGGTGGTTGCTGATGCTTGAGGTGCTGGACTGCAGTGAAGTCTGAACACAGGTCCCTATCTCCTTGTCCCCTTTGTAGGGTGGGGGCTCCTGCCTCTCCTTGCTTTCCCCAAATTCCCCTCGCTCCCAGCCCAGCTCATCTGGGGCCGTGGGGCAGGATTCTACATGTGCTTGGGCAAGGTGGTTTAGGCACCGTGTCATCAAAAAGCATCCCCAGCAGCCCAGGAAGGGCTCCCAGACTGGTCCTGAGCTGCTTCTGACAGTGGCCCCAGGGCACTGCTGCTGATCTGCTCTGCCAATGCTCTGCCTTTTTATTTTAATTTCTGCCTTTCTTCTTGCCACTCTTTTTTTTTTTTCCAACAGCTTTTCTCGTCTCTGTCTTCTCTCTCTCTCTCTTCCTTCTTCCTGTCCATGTGTCTTCCCCTGGCCCATCCCTCTCCTTCCCCACCCGTAGATGTGTCCGACTTTGAGAACAATAATGGCACTATTGGGACAGAGCTGAGCCAACGCCATGACAATCTCTCCACAGTGACCAACGCAATTGCTGGCATCAGCCCCTCTTCCTCCCTGTCGGCTCTCTCCAGCCGCGCAGCCTCTGTTGCCAGCCTCCATGAGCGCATCATGTTTGCTCCAGGCAGCGAAGAAGCTATTGAAAGGCTCAAGGTAGGAGGCTGGCTTGTTGTACCCGCTGTTTGCTGGGTGTAGAGAACGAGAGTTAAGAGCAGCAGCTGAGGGAAGTGGGGCTGTGCAATCTGGAGGACGCTGAATCCTAGCCTCGTCGCTCTACAGCCACTTGAAAGGAGAACGCGTTGGTCTCTTTGCCTAGGTGACAAGTGACAGGCCATGAGGAAACAGCCTCAGATTGTGCCAAGGAAGGTTCAGACTGGGTGTCAGGAGGAATATCTTCACAGAAGGGTGGTTAGGTGTTGGGCTGGGTCCCCACCCCTGGAGGTGTTGAGAAGCCATGTGGGGTAGCTCCAAGTGCCATGGTCTAGTGATGAGACATGGTGGGTTGGGTTGGTGGTTGGACTTGGTGACCATGAATGCCTTTTCCAATTGAAATGTCTCTGTCATTGTAATTCTGTGGACCTGGAGCTGCCAGGTGCCCTGGGTGAGGAGTGGGATTGCTGTGGTGGGGCTGGGCTGGAACTGTTGTTGCTCTGTGAGATGCAGTGAGCGAATGCAGAGCCCATCAAAACCAGGCTGAAAGTGGGGCAGCTCCATGGCTGAGCCCAACCAAATGCCCAAAACACTGAGCCTCCTTCACCCCACCAGGAAACAGAGAAGATCATTGCTGAGCTGAATGAAACGTGGGAGGAGAAGCTGCGCAGAACCGAGGCGATCCGGATGGAGAGGTGGGTGGATTGGGATGGGGGCAGTTTGGTGACTCCCATGGGCTCCAGCTGTGCCTGGCGAGCACTAGGCATCCCCAGGGGGCACGCAGGGAGCAGTGCAGGGTGGCTGCTAGGGCTGTATTGACAGGCTCTGCTTCCTGCAGGGAAGCCTTGCTGGCCGAGATGGGGGTGGCCATGAGAGAGGACGGAGGTACCCTGGGTGTTTTCTCTCCAAAAAAGGTAGGATCCTCTAATTCTCCCTGCTAAGCGGGCAGGTGGTACCCATGCAGTGTCGTCCAAGCCTATCTGTGCCAGCCAGCCCCAGATATTTCCAGGGGGCTCTCAGAGACATTAACTGTTAGCTCTGGAACCTGCAGTGCACATTTCGGTGCCAGCCCTGCTCTGTCTATATGCCACAAGTTGCTGCGATAGAAGTGCACAGATAAATAGAAGAGCCATTCCCTGCCACAGAGCACATGGAAGAAACAGCCCCCATTCAAGAGACACCGTGGAGCCCTGGTGACAGTTGTGGTGTCAGGCTCTTGGTGTCGGCTGCTAACACCTGGGGCATTTGATATTGCTGTCAGCTTTCCTCGCTTGGAAACGGAGGCGCAGCGGTATTAAATAGCATTAAATAGCATCCCAGGAAGCATTTTCTGAGCAAAACACTGGCCCTGCCCCAAGCAGATCATCTGGCAGCGAGCCCTGCCAGTGCAGTGCTGCAGCTCCTCACCGCCACCCAAATACCTCATGGGACCCACGGGGTGAGGAGAGCAGGCTCTGCCCCCAGCCCCTGCTGGGACAGGTGGTGATGAGCACTTTGGGACCCTGATGTGGCTCTTGAGACAGTTTTCACACCACCGTCTTTGTTTTTCACCTGCCTCAGCCGCTGCCCATTAGGCCCCCTGATGTGTGTGTGGGAAGCATGGGGGTATATTCCCCAAAGCAGGTTGGTCCTCATGTGGCCTTGCTGTGGTGTTCTTGGTGCCAACCTTTTCTTCAGCTCTCTGATTTCTCCAGCTGCTGGTGAGGAATGCTAGCTCCAAAAGCGTGCAAAACATTCTGACTGTGAGCAAAGCACAGCCGGAGCTTGTTACCCTGCTGTGCACCATCACTGGGGTGACAGTTTGTCCAAATCTTGCAAATCTGGAGCAAAATTGCAAACCAAAAGAGCCTCAGAGTTTCAGACCCAGAGGATCTGGAGGGTATGTTATTCCTGCCAGCCACCATGGAGAACAGCCTGTGTTTCCCTTCACCTCCAGCTCTCCTGCCCTGTTTGCTGTGAGTCTCTTGCACCCATCCTGGTTTATCCAGCTGGGGACACCTCTGCATGCGGAGTGCCCACAGGCTGATAGGATATTTATCCTCCTCTTTCTGAGAAACTCAGAGCTTGTCTCGCTGACAGAAGGTGCAATTGCAGTAGCCTGCAGTGGGATGAGACAAGCAGAAATTCCCTCTCATCAAGTGCACAGTGGTCATGGCTTGTGGGAAGGAAATCATGGGAGGGAGCTGATAGGAGGAAGGACAGAGAGTGCAGACGTGGCCACCTCCATTTGAGGACTCCTTGTGCTGGGCCTTTTTGCATTCCAAATATTCCCAGCAGTCAGGGAAAAGCCAAAAGAAGAACTCAACCCGTGGAAGAGCAAAGTGAGGAGGCTTGGTGGAGGCTCACAATGGAGTCCAGCCCTGGTTTTGTTGGTACTAGGTTGGGTCAGGGTGGCCACAGGACTGGATGGTCATGGAGGCTGAAGGTTGAGGAGCTGGGGGGTGAGCTTGGGTTTCACTGTACCCTGGTGACTCCTTCTTGTGTCCCCCAGACGCCCCACTTGGTCAACCTAAATGAAGACCCGCTCATGTCTGAGTGCCTTCTCTACTACATCAAGGATGGGATAACCAGGTGAGGGCTGGGTCTGCTGAGCTTATATGAGCAGTACAGCTGCAATGGGTAACATGTATGTCTGTGGCAATCTCATGAGAGATGTTAGTTCTGCTAGATGGTGCAAGTCCAGAGAGTACTTTTGAAGCCCAAAGCAGGATATTTTGGAGCTGGTTTGAGGACAGATGCAGCTGGCTTGAGCTGCCTTTTCCCCAACAGGGTTGGCCGGGAAGATGCAGAGAAGAGGCAGGACATTGTTCTCAGTGGGCACTTCATCAAGGAGGAGCACTGCCTTTTCCGCAGTGACACGAGGACCGGTGGTGAAGGTACTGATGTCCTGAGGGGCTCTGTGCCTCCGTCTGCCCGGGTTCATCCTGGGGTCCTGCCCTGGGCTTGGGGCTTGATGTGAGGTTGGCCAAGCCATTGCTCATGGTGGGGATATGCCTGGAGGCCCAGGCTGCCCCTCCATCTGCTGCTTGTCACACAGTGATTGTGACCCTGGAGCCTTGTGAAGGCGCTGACACCTACGTGAATGGCAAAAAGGTGACAGAGCCCAGCGTCCTGCGCTCAGGTGGGTTCCCAGGGGACGCTTCTGCCCACGGTTCCATGCACTGCGGCCATCCCTGCCACTAAACTCAAGCTCTCTGTCCCCGCCACAGGAAACCGGATCATCATGGGGAAGAGCCACGTGTTTCGCTTCAACCACCCCGAGCAGGCCCGGCAGGAGAGGGAGCGGACGCCGTGTGCTGAGACACCTGCTGAGCCCGTGGACTGGGCCTTCGCCCAGAGAGAGCTGCTGGAGAAGCAGGGCATCGACATGAAGCAGGAGATGGAGCAGAGGTGGGCACGTGGGGCTGGGAGGAGGGTGAGGGCAGGAGCCCAGCTTGGTCATCTCCATCTTCCCTGCTCCTTCCAGGCTTCAGGAGCTGGAGGACCAGTACCGGAGGGAGAGGGAGGAGGCAAATTACCTTCTGGAGCAGCAGCGGCTGGTAGGTGGCCAGGCTTTCTAGGCTGTCCCAGCACCACCATGCCTGGCAGCTGTTTGCATGGGGCAGCTTTGTGCATCTTGGAACGATGACAAATCCATCATCCCATCATTATTCCTGGGACTGCTTACCAATATGGACATGGAGTGGGGAGAGAAGGGTGATGAAGATTGTATCCTGTGGATTGCATCGTTCTTCTCCTTGCTTCCCTTAGGACTACGAGAGCAAACTGGAGGCTCTGCAGAAGCAGATGGACTCTAGATATTACCCTGAAGCCAATGAGGAAGAAGAAGAACCTGAAGATGAAGGTGAGTGCTGAATCACAAAGGAGAGATGGAAAAGTTTGGGTGGAAGGAGAGGATGAGCTGATGTTTCTGCAGATAGGTCTGGGAGGGGAGCTGGTGTGCTCCAAGCAGCCTCAACTTCACCTCCCTCCTCTCAGCCATTAGAGGAGATATTAATAAAAAACATCCAGAGAACTAGTAGGAGGAAGGATTTTAGAGTGAAGACCAAAAAACTCCATTGCGACATCTGGCTGCAGAGCCTCGGGGAACCAGTATGAAGACACTGGGAGCAATTTTGCAATGAGTTTGCCCACTGCTGCGCTCCATGCCCTTCCACTCCTCCTTTTCCTCATGGCAAAGCAGGTGTTGCAGTGAGGCCTGGATGCCTTCCATGGGAAGAAAAGCAGTGCACCCAGACACCTCATGCTGCATCCTTGGCCCAGCCTCAGCACCAGGGTGTGTGTGGTGAGCATCCTTCTGTGTCCTTCCCACAGTGCAGTGGACAGAGCGGGAGTTCGAGCTCGCCCTCTGGGCCTTCAGGAAGTGGAAGTGGTACCAATTCACCTCCCTCCGTGACCTGCTCTGGGGCAATGCCATCTTCCTCAAGGAAGCCAATGCCATCAGTGTAGAGCTGAAGAAAAAGGTAGGTGCTGATTGCGAGTGGTGGGTCTCACCATCATGGTGTTGCTGGGCACTTATTGCTTGGATTTTAGGGGACATGTGGTGTTGCTGCTTGCTGCCACAGCAAGGGAGCACAGACCTATGTGCTGGCAGGGAGCTATGGGAAGAGAGCCCTAAGCAAGCGGCTCCAGCACATCCCTGTCATGCATCTGTGCATGTACCCACACAGTGTTGTGGTGACGGCAAGAGCCCAGGCTGATGGCACTGTGGTCTTCATGGCTGGATCACCATTCTTCTCTGCCTCCTTCCAGGTGCAGTTTCAGTTTGTCCTCCTGACAGACACGCTGTATTCACCTCTTCCTCCTGACCTGCTGCCTCCCGACGCCGCCAAGGACCGGGAGAAGCGGCCATTTCCCCGCACCATCGTGGCTGTGGAGGTGCAGGACCAGAAGAACGGGGCAACGCATTACTGGACCCTGGAGAAGCTCAGGTAGGAAGGGATGTCTGCACTGGGCAGGCTCGGCAAGAGGGCTCTGCTAGCCCTAGCCTGGTTTCTCACCACTGCCCCTCGTGTGCCCACATCTGCAGGCAGCGCCTGGACTTGATGCGCGAAATGTACGACCGTGCAGCAGAAGTGCCTTCAAGCGTCATTGAGGACTGCGACAACGTGGTGACCGGCGGAGATCCCTTCTATGACCGCTTCCCGTGGTTCAGGCTGGTTGGCAGGTGAGCGCTTTGGCTCCTTCAATGTGCAGCCTGGAGGCACGGCGTCCCCCCGGGGCAGAGCTGCTGCCAGGCACAGCAGCCTATCACCGCCGTGGCCCACACCACAGCCGGTCCCCTCCGGCCTCCCATGGAGCAGTGCCACCAGGCAGGGGCTGTCAGCTGCCAGTGGAGCGCCGGTGCCGCCGTGCCCACCGCCTATGTGTGTGTGTGCACATCTGTAGGCGTCCGTGTCCAAGCGTCTGTCTGTGCCACCCGTGCCGTGCGTCTCTATGTGCTTCCTGCACGGTGCCGGCAGTGAGGACGGGTGGCCCAACAAGGACACACGGATGTGTGTGCCTTGGAGGCCTCACCTCGTGCCACAGCAGCACCGGCAGTGGGATTTCCCAGTGGTGGGGTGGTGGGATGTCCCCCAGCCTTGTGTTGTGTGTTCCGTCCCGCTGTGCTGTGCTGCCTGCAAAGCCAGCGCCGGGAATTCCCATGTTTGCACCAGTTTGTTGGGTCTCTCTTTTTTTCCCACATTTTCTAGCCGACAGCCATTGGTGGCTCCCTTTAGAGACGCACCGGATGGGCAAGTCTCTATTTCCTGACATCCCTTGGTTTGAGCAGAAAACAAACCAAGCCAAAAAAAAAAAAAAAAAAGCAAAATCCCTATTCTTGCTCTCTCTGTTTGGAACAGCTGGTGTTAACCTGTCTTCTATCTTGTTGTACTAACCTTAGTTCAGATATCTCTGGCTGCAACAGCTCTCCTCTTTTCAACACATGCATGAGCGAGCGCATGGCTGATCTCACCCCCTCCCCTACCTTCTCGAACCCCGACTCCGACATCACCGAGCCTGCTGACGAGCAGCACGAGGGGCAGGAGGAGGAGGAGGAGGAGGAGGCGGAGGACCTGGAGGAAGACATCTTTCCGGAGTGCCCGCTGTGTGATGGCCGGGATCCGTTTTACGACCGCTCCCCCCTGTTCAGTTTAGTAGGAAGGTTGGTGAGGTTTTAGGAGAGCATGCTGGGAAGGAACTAGCTCTTTCGCATGAGGGAACTGCTTTCTGGCACGACCCCCACCTCCAGGGCGTCCCGTGGGCGCAGGGGTGGCCGTCGGGTCGGGGCCACCGAGGTAGGGCTGTGACAAACACAGCAGCAAGGGCACAGGGCGAGCGCGAGAGCCCGGCTTTGGGCAGCCCCCAAAAACATGAGATCTCCCTGAGTGCCGCAGGACCTGCACTCAGGTTTCCATTCCCAGGGGGCCCAGCTGTCCGTCATAGCGAGGACCACAGGTGTGACACCACGAGTGTGAGGCTCTGTGCTTTTGTCCTGGTGGTGCTTCGGCCACAACTTTTGCAGCTGTCCCAATGCAGTAGGGAAAAATGAGGCTGTGCCGGTCGCTGTGAACCCTGGCACCATCTGGTGGGACTCAGGGGGAGCCACGTGAGTGAGATGAGCTTGGGATCAGCGGGGGGAGGAGAACTCTTTGGGAAGTGGAGTTTTCTCTGTCTGTGCCCCACGCACTGCTTGGGACCATCTCCACGGGCTGGTAGCTACAAGCACAGGGCATGCTCAGGAAGGGCACATAGAGACCCAAGCTGCAGGAATAGGAAGGGAAAAGAACCTTAATTTCTCCTCCCTGTATGCCGGGACAGTCCTGGGCTTGGTCACTCCTGGCTTGGAGAAATCGGGATGGGTTTCTGGGCTCCAACTGTGCCTTCAAACTGTCGCAATCCGCCCATCCCCAAAACGCCCTCGTGACACAGGCAGGATGATGCTGGCCCCCTGGCTTCACTGCAGAAGGCTTCCCAAGGGGACAAGGGATGTGTGCTCAGAGCAGGACTCGGAGCCCCCATTCCTGGGACCATGGGGGTCCGCCCAAGGCAGAGCCCCCACCGTGCTGGGGCTGCTTCTCCCTTACCGAGTCCAAGTCTGGGGTGCGAGCAGGAGATGGAGCAGCACAGGCAGAGAGGGAGGAGGTGGGGTAAGAGCCCTGCAGCCTCAGACCGAAAGAGCTGGGTTCTTCCACCCTTTTTTTTTTTTTTTTTTTTTTTTTTTTTTCTTTTTTTTTTTTCCTTTTTTTTTTTTTTTTTTTCCAAAAACCAAAACCAAAACTCTTGGGGGCACCTCAAAACCAAACCCACCGACCTGCCAAGCAAACCTCTGCAGTCCCCCAGGTCGTTCCCTCGGGCTCTCCCGACTTCTTTTGAGTCTGCCCCGGGTTTGGCTCCTCACGCAGCAGCTGTGCCGGCCACATTTCTTGTGAAGTGTGCTTTGATTGGTTTATGATTGGATCCTTGTCTTTGATTTCTTTCTTTCTTTCTTTCTTTCTTTTCAGTTTTTTGTTTTGTTTTGTTTTTTTAGTTGTTTTGGTTTGGTTTGGTTTTTGTTTTTGTTTTTTAGCTGCTGGCTCTCTCTCTCCAAAGCTTTAGCAAAAATTGGGGTTATTTCACTTTTGTCTTCCTTTGGAAAGGCTTTTCTTTGGTCTGAGCATGCCATCTTTGCACCTCACCAATCTTGTGGTTAGTGTCCCTGCCCTCCTTCCTCTAGTGACACACTTGTCCCCCTCCTCCCCATCCTCTTGTCCTTCCCTTCCCATCTTCACCCCCCTCCTCCATCCCCCGGATTCATCCTGATGGGCTGCCCACTGATTTTGGGGCAGGAGAATTGCTCATGGGCAAGCAGTCCCAAATCCATGCCTACCTGAGCCCTGGTGGCCAACAAGAAGAGCTGGGGAGAGATGCTCGGTGGGGGATTGCACTCTGTGACTCAACCCCTCTTGGAGTTGTTTTGGGTGGAAAAAGCCTCGGACTTGTGGGTGGAAGAAGCCTTGGCTTGAGGTTGGCCCAAGCTGCAGCAGCAGCAGGGAGAACCTCTGCACCTCTGCAAGGCTGAATCTTTGAACACAGGGCTGTGGCCTTTTCTGCAAGAGCCTTTCAGATGCCATTCGGATGCCTGTGAGCTTAGGAAACCAGCTACCTGGAGACATCTGCATTTGCCTTGGGGAGCCTCCTGAAGCTGATGTGTCCTGACTGTTGCCTTCAGGATCCCTACCCACAGGACACAAGGACATCACATTTTGAGACACATGGGAAAGTGGAAACAAGCCATCCCTGCTGAGGACATAAGTGCTAGAAGGACCTCTAAATGGTGGAAGGACCTCTATGGTGTGCTGGTCAGAAAGGACCAACATTTGCCACCAGCTCCCAGCTAGGGAGGGAGAGGCTGAGCCGGCCAGCTGTGAACTCAAGGAAGGCAGCAAACGGAAGCCAAATGACTGAGGAATGCCACGTACCTGTGCCCAGCCCGGATACCTGAGAAGGTCCCGGGGAGCTCAGCAGTCACACTGGAACCCCGCGGTGGCACCAGGCGGGACACGGCGTGGGGACACGTGCATGCCACCAGCCACACCTCACAGCATCCTCAGCCACCTCCAGCCACCGCCGCCCAGAGCAGGTTCACCTGCAGAGGCTCTGATGCCCAGGCCAGGACCTTCTCCTCCCCCCATCCTTTGTTCCCGCCAGCCTCTTCCTCCCTCCTTCCCTCCCTCCCTTCCCATCCTGTCCTCGCCTCGCCCGCCCCCCGTTGCCTCCGCAGCACCCCCAGCTCTCTCACGGCACCTCCTGCCCCCATCCTCCGGCTCGTCACCGCCAAGACAGTCCTCTGCCCAGCTTGCCCCCTCCCCAGGATGCGACGGCCGGAGAGACGCCGGCTCGCCCGCTCCCCGCCCCGCGCTGGCCCTGGCTGCCCCTCATGGCTTTGCTTTGCAGCGGTGACATGGGACATGGGACCTGGCCGCCGGCGGCCGCCACCCGCGCTCTGGGATGCTCGGGCGGAGGCGGTGACGGCGCTCCCGTGTTGCTTCTCTCCCCGGCAGGGCCTTCGTCTACCTCAGCAACCTGCTGTACCCCGTGCCCCTGGTGCACCGCGTGGCCATCGTCAGCGAGAAGGGCGAGGTGAAGGGCTTTCTGCGCGTGGCCGTCCAAGCCATCTCAGGTAGGGACTGGCCCTGGTGCTGCTTTGGCCTGTGTGTCCCCTAGCATCCCACCGACACCTCGCTGCTTTCCTCCTGCAGCCGACGAGGAAGCCCCAGACTACGGTTCTGGTGTGCGGCAGTCGGGGACAGCGAAGATCTCCTTTGACGATCAGCACTTCGAGAAGGTATGAGTGCAGCGGGGACTGGGATGGGGTTGGCTGCAGAGACCACGGCGTCTCACCCTGTAGGGTGGTGTCCAGTTGCTCTGCCTTGGGTACCACCTGGGCCGGGCACAGCCCCTCGAGGAGCTGTGTCTCTGGGCTGGGGCTGCCCTCCTTTTGGTGCTGCAGTGGTGGCAGCTCCCTCAGCCCCATTCCTCCATCGCCCTCCAGTTCCAGTCCGAGTCCTGCCCTGCTGTAGGCATGTCTCGCTCGGGGACCTCCCAGGAGGAGCTGCGCATCGTTGAGGGCCAGGGGCAGATCAGTGACTTGGGGCCCTCCGCCGATGAAGTCAACAACAACACCTGTGCTGGTGAGCAGCACCCAGCGGGGCGTCTGAGCACGGAAAGCCCACATCCCCAGCAGCAGCTCAGCATCAGCACAATTCCTCCTGCTGAGGGCTCTCCTTTCCCCACAGTGACCCCAGAGGACCTTCTCCTGGACAGCTCGGAGAAGTCCACGATGGATGGGCCTCTGGAGGCAGCTCTGGACCACCTGAAGCTGGGCAGCATCTTCACGTTTCGAGTGACCGTCCTGCAAGCCTCCAGCATCTCAGCAGAATATGCGGATATCTTTTGCCAGTTCAAGTGAGATCATGGTGACCCCCCCAGGCTGTCGTGTCCCTCTATGCTCCGGCCTTCACCTCCCTTGGTTGCCCCAAAGCAGGGATAGTGTTGCAAGCTTCATCCCACACTCTGCTTCCATTCCATCCAAGTCTTTCATGGAAGCAAAACCAAAAGACGTGGGATGAGCCTCTGTCTCTGCCTGGACACATATTTGGTCACTGGAAAAAGCAAGGGAGTGTTTCACAGGCACTGAGGGCTGCAGATCAGGGTGGCGTGTCTTTCTATGCCAGCCCTGCCCAGGTGGCAGCGCAGGCTAAGTTCCTGTCCTCTCTCCCACTCCTGCTCCTCTGTGCTGCCCTGCAGTCCCCACATGACTTCCCTTCCCTTTGCAGCTTCATCCATCGCCACGATGAGGCCTTTTCAACGGAGCCCTTGAAGAACACGGGGCGAGGGCCACCACTGGGTTTCTACCATGTCCAAAATGTGAGCACCTTCCCCTCTGGCACCCCGTCACCCACACAGCTGCCAGTGCCCATCCCTAGAGCAGCACCTTCCTTCTGCCTGCTTTCTCAGCACATCACATCCCTTTCCAAACTAGACAGTGTGCTCAAGTGCTCTTTCTCTTTCTCAGATTGCTGTGGAGGTGACCAAGTCCTTCATCGAATACATCAAGAGCCAGCCGATTGTATTTGAGGTGTTTGGGCACTACCAACAACACCCCTTCCCACCCCTCTGCAAGGACGTCCTCAGGTGGGTGCGTGTGGATCACGTGTGGCTTATTGTGCCTTCCCCTGGCGCCACAAGGCCAGGCTGGAACAGCACTCCTGGCTCCGAGGGTACATGGAGGTGGGTGGCCCCAGGTTGGGACCAGTTTCTGCCATGGTGGCTTTTATCTACACCTGTTTTCTCTGCAGCCCGCTGAGGCCATCCCGGCGCCACTTCCCACGGGTGATGCCACTTTCCAAGCCAGGTAGGGGATGATGTCCTGCTCCTCTCCCACGGTCCCCAGGTCACAGAGCACATTCCCCTCTATGCCCTGCTCCCAGTGCCCTGTGCCACATGCCTGCAAGAGCAGGGCTGGATGGCAGAATCTCAGAGACATCACTGAATGTGTCGTGCTCCAGAGCACCCGGAGGCCCTTTGGCACCTGCTCACTCCATGTTTGGCTGACGCAAACCCCTTTGCAAGCATCTTTTCCCCCTGCTCTCATGGCAGCCCCGCAGCATCCCTCCCTTGTGCCAAAGTGTCTGTGCGTAACCGCTTTGCTTTGTGTTGCCCTTTCTGTTTGTTTCCCTCCCTCCTCACAAGAGCACTCCAGCCCCCACCGGCTCACCCACTGCCCAGTGCCGGCCGTGCTGGCAGGCTCACTCCTGGACATGCTCTCTGGGCACGCTCTGGCGGCCGCCACCGCCGCCACTTCCCTCCTGCGGCGTGGCATGGAGGAGCCCGTCTGCCCACCGCCCCTGCCTGCCGCGGACCGCGCCGTCAGGAAGGCGCAGAAGCCGGGTTGGTGCCCGCATGAGCCTGCAGCAGGGTCAGCAGCTGTCCCTTGGGGGGCCAGTGATAGCAGTGGGGATGGCATGGTGCTCCCGAGGTCACCTCCCCGGGGCTACATGAGTCCCTGCTGCTTTCGTCTGCTGAGACCCGAGTTGCTGTGGTTTTTGCTGAGTGCGGTGGTTTGCTGTGATGCCTGCCCACCTCCTGCTCCAGCACCAGGGGTCCCATGTCAGCCAGCAATCCGGCTGTCCCTGAGCTGCTCCACTGGTGCTGGAGCTGTGCTGTGTGGTTTGGGACCCGTTCCTGTCCCTTCTGGGGTTGGTCAGGTGTTCCAGGAAAAGCCCCATCTTGAACCCTCACTTCTCTGCTTTGGGAATGGGAGGAAGTGCCCATGAGGTGCTCAGGATGGGGCTGCATCCCTTTGGTAGTGCTGCGTGCTGCCTCCTGCCATATTGCCACCTGCCTAGTGGCCCTGCTTGTCCCCAAGCCCTGCCTGCTCTGTGTCCCCCTGCTTGCTCCCGTGTGCCCCCAAACTCAGCAGCAAACTCCCCCTTTCTGCCTCCAAGTTAAGTTGTGCTTCCCACCCCCTATAGTGCCCGCCACCAAGCTAAGCACCATGAATCGTCCCAGTGCTGGGCCCTGCCAGTGCAAGTATGATCTGATGGTCTTCTTCGAGATCTGCGAGCTGGAGGCCAACGGCGAGTAAGTCCTGGGTGGAGGAGAGAGGGAGGCAGCGTGGTGATTTGCACCTCTGGGGAAGCACAGTGGGTTTGGGCACATGAGGAGAGCTGTGTCCCCCCACCGTCTTCTCTTCCAGCTACATCCCGGCTGTGGTGGATCACCGTGGAGGCATGCCGTGCCACGGGACCTTCCTCCTCCACCAGGTACTCCCTGCTCAGAACCCAACCCCCTGCTCCTGCCCCGCTGCCCAGGAGCTGTGTTAATCACCACCCTATCCTCTCTGCCCTTGGCATTTTCAGGGCATCCAAAGGAGAATCACTGTCACTTTGGTGCATGAAACAGGCAGCCTGATCCGCTGGAAGGAAGTGCGGGAGCTGGTTGTGGGTAAGCAAAGCCAGACAAGGTTGCAAGGAGCTCCCCCAAATCTCCTCCACATCTCTAGAGGCTTCTGTGCTTTTTTTTCCCATCCCATTCAGTTTTCACTTACTATCATGCTTGCAATAGTACAGAGATGACTGCCCCGTGGGTGCCACCACAGTGCCAGCAGGACATGGGGGTGCACACCATACACATGGACCCTGGCAGGAGACCTGAGAGGGTTCCTGTGCTTTGTTTGCAGGTCGGATCCGGAACACCCCAGAAGCTGATGAGTCTCTTATTGACCCCAACATCCTGTCCCTGAACATCCTGTCCTCTGGCTACATCCACCCCTCACAGGACGACCGGTGCGTGCCAATGCTTCTCTTGCATTGCAGTGCTGGGGGAGACAGGGAGCTGGTCCTGTTCAGTGACAGTGACAGGACATTGTGCTCTACTTGTCACCAACTCAGTCCCGTGTTGTAGCTAACTGGCTGGAAATGCCGCTTCATGCTCATGGCTGATCCCCGTGTGTCCAGGGCCATGGGGGACACGAGGTCCCTCACACCTGTCCTGGGGCTGTTCCTGCTCTGCGGCTGTGATGTGGCCGCACCGAGTGGTTGGAGCGTGTGAGTGTGGGGCACTGTGACAGTGGGGACAAGAGTGTGACCGTTTGTTGGTGGCACAGGGAAGGAGTGATGGGGCTGATGCTGAGCTTTGAGTGGCATAGGAGCACGCTGGATGGCAGTGGGACCGTCTTTCCCTTTGCTTTTCTTTGTTTTTCTCCTCCCCACTGTGGCTTGTCCCCAGGCTGGTGTGTCAGTGACAGCCCTGCCTGAGAGGTGCCAGCCTGCAGTGCTGCTGGAGCAGCTCCTGGCCACTCTGCATCCCACTGCCAGCAGGCAGGGAGCTCCTGGGCACGGGCTGTGCGTGCAGGTGTCAGACATTGTCACACCCACTGGGACAGCAGTGAGGCCAGGCAGGAGGCTGATGGAATCAGTGGTGAGGAGGGTTCAGACTTACAGAGCTGTGATGGTTCGTGCCGGGTGGCTGAGGTTTATGGGAGCCACGTGGATGTTATACCCAGGCACACAGGCTTGTGGGACAGTGTTGATGTGCATCAGCAGCTGCTCTGGTCCAGGCTGCGGCCAGATCTGATCTCAGCAGCCCCAGCGTAGCCTGATGGAGAGGAACACGGCTCCCACCTTCCCCGTGCATTGGGGCCATGGGGTACCAACCACCCCCTGGGATGCCATGGCAGGGGCAGCAGGTGCTGGATGACACACTGGGGGGACAGAGATTGCTGGCTCCCAGCAGGACACCGAGGGGCCGCTGCAGCAACCCCGCGCTTCCATCCTGCCATGTCCCGCATGCTTCGACCCCAGCCGCCTGCCGGGACAGGAGGCCAAGGATGGCAGCAGGCAGAGCGGTGTCTGCACTCGCCCTCCTCCCAGGCTGCTTCCGCTCCCTGCTTTGCTATCGTCCGCCCCACCGCCTCCATCGCCGACAGCAGCCCTGGCTCTGCCCTCCTCCCGTATCCTTTTGGACCTTCCATGGCAGCCGCCGGGATTCTGCTGCCCTCAGGCAGCCCTGGGGTGCAGTGCCCAAGGCCTTTCCTTGCTTCCCTCCCAAACCGCTGCTGCCGCTGCCCATCTGAGCCCACACTAACCATGTGATTGTTTTGTGTTTTCGCAGGCAGTTTCTTGATTCGGATATGCCTAGGTATTATTTGTTTCCATTGTTTTTTTTTTCCACCCCCTCCACTCTCTCCCCTCTCTCCCCGCATCTCAGCACTCTCAGTCCCGCTGCCGGCGGCACTTGGGTTTCCAGCCCCCTCTCCACGTCCCCCTTCCCCTCCCCGCATCCTGGGCACCTCTCTCTCACGCCGCACTTCCCTGCGGGTTTTGCTGTTTGTTTGGATCGTGCTCTCGCTCCTCCTCACTCTTGCTGGCCTGCGCTCTCATCGCCCCGTTTTTGTTTGCTTTTCAACTTTTCACACTGCTGTTCTCCCAGCTATCCGGCATCCAGCTCTGGACATGCAGTCCCGGCCCCCTGCCCCTGCCCCAGCCCTGTGTGGGGAAGGCACGGCATAGCAGGCTGTGTGGGGACGTGTGCTGGGTGTACACACACCCTGCAGCCATGTGCAGCCCTCCTTCAGGTGTAGGTGTGATGTATACATGGCAAAGGTGGATGCAGCAGGGATGGGGTCTGCCAAGACCCAGTGGGGTTCTGGATTCCCTGCAGCAGCTGGAGACTGATCCTGCGCAGGACAACCGAGGACATCTGTCTGTCTGTCTGTCTGGCAGCATCCCGCACCAGTGGAGCACTTGGGGATCTCTTCATTGCCTTAATGCAGGCAACTTTCAGGCCCTAGGAGTGCAGAAACTGCTCTGAAATCGTTGGAGGGGTCCTGCAGTGAGGGTAGAGTTAAGGGAGGAAGGTGTGGGGCTGCAGAGGGCTTGCTGCAACATCCATAAAGTGATAAACCTTGGGATGCTCTCCCTGAGCAATCTTTCGCCCCTAATTTGGGGGCCAGGGGAATGTGAGCAGTGATGCAGAGCTTAGTGGCACAGAAGCAGCCACTGCAGAGCGAGGAACGGCCACCGTGCCTGGTGAGGAATTCCGTCTGGGCACAGCTCCATCTGCAGTGTGGGTGCTGAGATGGGCTCTGACGGTTGTTGGGCTCCACTGGGCCCCCAGAGCAGCCCCAGGGCAGACCCTTGTGCCATCCTGCTCCTGGCACCCCGGTTGGCTCCATCCTGGGCAGTGGTTGCCGCAAGGCACGCGATGGCCCCGTCCAGACGATGCTTTCTGACGTTTCGTTTTTCTGTGTGTGTACGTGTGTGTGTTTGTCCTGGGTTGCCTTCCACTTATAGCATTTCATTCGGAAATGACACTAGGTATTTTGCGTGCACATGCTCGGAATGGTCCCTCCCGCTTCTCTCTCTTTCTCCTTTGCCTCGTTCCTTCGCTTTTTGCTCTTCTTCCCCCTCTCCCTAACTCTCCTCTTCTCTTATATCCTCCCTTGGGAGCTCTCTCTTCTCAAGAGCCCTTTGTGTGAAAAGTGATCCTTTGCTTTGACTCTGTCTCACGTGGTTTTAATAGGCAACACCTCTGAGAGAGTGACTCACTGCTCTCCAGCGTGGTGCCCCAGGCAGGGGCAATGGCCATGCACCCATGGGTGCAGCCAAAGCCCCCTTTGCTGGGAGCCTGCCCCTCTCTTGGCCCCAATGCAGCTCAGTTCAGGCTGCCTGCACATGGCCACGGCCAAGCTGTGGCTGCCTGAGGGTGCTCACAAAGGGACCAGGGTGGCCTTGGGTGCGTTGTGAGTGTGGGTGCCCTGGCAGTGGGGAGGTAATGCTGGGGTCCCCCATGTTCTCGACCCAGAGCTGCCTCCTGCTTCCCCCTTCTCATTACTGCACTGTCCAGACCCCAAAATGCAACCACTGCTCTGCTATGCGCCGTCCTTTATGGGGTCCCACCAGAGCTCACACCCCAGCTCCTGCCCAGACTCACCAGTGCACAGTGCGGAAATGGAAAGCACAGAATGAGGCAGCGGGCAGGAACAGAGGGCAGTGGCCAAGGGACAGGGGGGACTGTCCCATAGGCTCCAAATCCTGGGCCCTACCTCCTGGTGGGGACTTTGCTGGTGAGATCTGTCCCTCCATGCTGAGCATCCTCTTCCTACTCTGGCTGTCATCACCCGAATGGTGACAGCTGCTCCCAGAGTGCTGATGGGTGACAGGGTGCTGGCCTGGGTGTGCTGGAGGTGGCAGCTTGCCTTGAGCTCTGGGGACACGCTCCCTCCTCTGTCCTTTTGTCCCCCATTCCCTGCCTTGCCTTGCACTCAGCTGAGCCCCCCGTGCTCCCAAGCCCCTGCGCACAGTTCAAGGGCACCCGTCTCCCTCCCGCTGCACCCATTCTGCCTCGGCTTTGCCTTGAGCCTGCATCCCCCAGAGTGGCTGGCCCCAAATGTCCCATGCATGCCCATGTATCCCTGCAGGCCTGCTGCAGCGCTGCAGAGGGAGGGAGGAAGGGAGGTGTCTCCCTGCTGTCTGGCTGGCATTTCAGGGAGATTGTTTCACTGGCTCTGCTCTGTCTTGGCAGGACTTTTTACCAGTTTGAAACTGCGTGGGACAGCTCCATGCACAATTCACTGCTGCTCAACCGTGTCACCCCATACCGGGAGAAAATCTACATCACCCTCTCCGCCTACATCGAGGCAAGGATCCATCTCTGTGCCATTATAACACAAATGGGAGTTCCCTCACCATTGTGGCTTTCCTGGTGGAGTGCAGCCCTCAGAGGTGTTCCTCTGGCAGCTCCCCACCTGCAAGCACAGCCCGGGAGGACACTGGGATGCTGCCTTTGCCCATTAATGGGGAAAGGCAGGGGCTCTTCCAGCCCTTCCTGCCTTCTGTGGGCTGCACAGCACAGGGGTGCTGCCCGTATAGCCCATGCACCCCCTTGACACAATCCCTCTGCTCTCCTCTCTCCCCACCCTGCTGCAGATGGAGAACTGCACCCAGCCTGCCGTCATCACCAAAGATTTCTGCATGGTTTTCTATTCCCGAGATGCCAAGCTCCCTGCCTCCCGCTCCATCCGCAACCTCTTTGGCAGCGGCAGCCTGCGGGCTTCAGAGAGGTACCAGCTGGTTTTGGGAGGGAGGACAGGGGACAAGCAATGCTTCCAGCACCCAGTGCTGCTCTGGAATGTGGGGTAAAACCTCAGAGTCTGGGAACAGAATCAAGTGACATCCCCCTTTGCTTACAGCAACCGCGTGACGGGTGTCTATGAGCTGAGCCTGTGCCGCGTGGCGGATGCTGGCAGTCCAGGTGGGTGCCCTGCATGTTCACTGTAGGGCTGTGGTGTGAGTGATTCTATGAGTGCCTGAGCCGTGCTCCTATCCTTTGAGCCATGTGTCTGTCCCCTGAGCCATGTGTTTGTCTCCAAAGGCATGCAGAGGCGGCGCCGGCGCGTATTGGACACCTCTGTAGCCTATGTGCGGGGAGAAGAGAACCTGGCTGGCTGGCGGCCCCGCAGCGACAGCCTCATCCTCGACCATCAGTGGGAGCTGGAGAAGCTCAGCCTCCTGCAAGAAGTAAGATGTTGGGTTGGGAAGAGCTTCTCGGGGCTGAAATTCCACACTTTGCAACAGAGGGTGCCAAAACACACCCAGGATTCTCAGCCCTCCTGGCTTTGTGCCGTGGGGCTCTGTTCCTGCTACACTGATGCTAGCCAGGTGCCTGCAGACTCAAAGCTAATAAGCAGCTGGGTTATTGGGCGTGGGAGGCCCCCCAAAATGCTTCCAAGCTGGGCAAGGGGGAAGCCTGGTGCTGAGCAGGGATGCCCTCACCCAGGTGGAGAAAACCAGGCACTACCTGCTGCTGCGTGAGAAGCTGGAGACAACCCAGCGGCTGGGCCTGGAGACCCTGTCCCCATGCTCCAGCGAGGACTCCGAGTCCCGAAGCACCTCCTGCGTCTCCTCCCCACTCTCAGCTGATGGGGCCCCAGAAGGACGGACCTCTCCTCCCGAAACCCCCAGTGAGAGGCAGAAGGAGCTGGCTGTGAAGGTACACCATCCTGGAGCCAGAAGAGGTTCCCAGGGGGGCGGGCATGGTGGTAGCAACGCGGTGGAAAAGGCGATGGGGGTGGAAGAAGGAACCTCCTACACCCTCATCCTCATCTACCTGCAGTGCCTGCGCCTGCTCACGCACACCTTCAACCGCGAGTACAGCCACAGCCATGTCTGCATCAGCGCCAGCGAGAGCAAGGTACCGGGGCGGTGACAGAAACCTGGGGTCTGCAGGGCTGGTGATGGCTGGGAGGGACGCGTGGGGACTGGGGCTCGCAGGGCAGGGGTGGGTCTGCGGGTGGCCCTGCTGCCACCCTCTGCTCGCCTGACTGCTCCCAGAGCACCCATATGCACGTTCCTCTCCCTGCCCCGGCCAGAGCTGTGCCCGGCTTCGGGCAGAGACTCCAGTCCACACCTCCGCTCCTCCACAGCTGTCTGAAATGTCTGTGACCCTGATGAGAGACCCGTCCATGTCAGCTCTCGGGGTCACCACCCTCACCCCCTCCTCAACCTGCCCGTCGCTGGTGGAAGGACGCTACAACACCATGGAAGTCAGGTATGAAGGTGGCCGGGAGGTTGTGTTGAGTCCCCAGTGTTCACCGAGCAGGATGGCGGTACTGCTCAGGCATGGTCCCACCTGATGGTTGCTCTTCATCCTCCTCCAACGCTATCCTTTCTCCTCCTCCTAGAACCCCACAGGTCTCCTCCAGGGTGGAGAGTCCTGACCTGGAGCCTGTGGTGGAAGGAGATCAGAAGAAGTCCCCGTCCCGCCGGTCTGAGGATGAGAAGGAGCCTCAGCGGCAGCTGGTGCCTGACATTCAGGAGATCCGAGTCAGGTAGGAGCCACCAGAGAGGCCAGGAGGGGACTCCCTAAAGGGACGGAGGGGGCAACCAGTGGCTTGGGGGAGAAAGGTGACAGTGCTCTACTGCAGCCACCTCCTTGCAGCCCACGTCCCAGCCTGATCCAGCCCTCTCTGTCTTTCTGCAGCCCTATCGTCTCCAAAAAGGGCTACCTGCACTTCCTGGAGCCCCACACCAATGGGTGGGTGAAACGTTTTGTGGTGGTCAGGCGCCCATACGTCTACATCTACAACTCAGACAAGGACTCAGTGGAGAGGGCCATACTCAACCTCTCCAAGGCCCAAGTGGAGTACAGTGAGGACCAGCAGGCCATGCTGAAGGTGGGTGCCAGCCTCACACAGGGAGCCTCAACACCCTGGGGCAAGGTGCTGACCCCAAGCTCTCCCTAGCAGACCCCCAACACGTTTGCGGTGTGCACGGAGCACCGGGGCATCCTGCTGCAGGCAAGCAGTGACAAGGACATGCACGACTGGCTCTATGCCTTCAACCCCCTCCTGGCTGGGTCCATAAGGTATGGAGTGGGTGACAGAAGGAGTGTGCTTTGGTGAATGGGCTGTAGGAAGAGGTGAGGAGGTCACCAGCGGCTGAGCGCTGTCACTGGGCTGCAAGCTGCTGTTCTTCTTTGCCAGACATGGGGAGTGCCTGCTGAGCCAGGCTGGGATGGAAAGGACTCTAAGCTGATGGAGTTTGGGACATGTTAATAACGATTTCAGCTCCGCCACTTTATAGCTGTAAGGAGTTACTCCTCCCCGCTTAACCAAGGGCCATGTTGTGGCTGGTACAGGGACCGAGCTCAAAGCAGCACCCGTATGCAGCAACTGAGCCTTTGCTCCTCTTCAGAACATGTCAAGAAGTTCTTCCTCTCAAATTGCAGAAGGGGAATAGGCACCAATGCACAGAGATTTGTGAGCCCTGGCAAACGAGCACTGTTAACCCCATGCCCCCCTGGTTCCAGCTGGATTCAAGAACCAGCCTGCACACAAGATACCACAGATCTCCTTTTCCCCATCTCTGACTTCTTTTGTGTCTTGGTTTCCAATTCAGGTCCAAGCTGTCCAGAAGGAGAACAGCCCAGATGAGAATCTAACCTGAAAAGCACCCTCCACCTCATCCGTCTGCCAACAGGATCAAGATAGCAGATTCTGTCTCAAGAGTCCCCATGTTAACATCCGATCTCTCACACCATCTGCTGCCCCAGCTGCCTGCTCCATGGAAGGATCCGTCTCGATCTACACCTTCATGGGGGAAACTCATTTCTGTTCGTAGCTGCAAACGCCCGGTCCCACCTGGGCAGGATCTCTCGTGTGCATGTGATCTTCTGCCCCTCCCCCCATGGGTGGCCTTCATGTCACACAACCTGTAACGCTCCTGAAAGGTTCCTTTCGGAGAGGAGGGAGCAAGGAGGGTAGATCCGGTTAAAAGCTGGTCTTTGACCTACAGAGGTAGCAGTGTCGTAAAGCTCAGAGATGAGAAATCAGGAGGAATTGCTTCCACACGAAGGGAAAGTGGTAGTTTAGGTATGGGGATTTCCTAATTTATTGTTTCTACAAAAGATGGCAGGGCAAAATCAGGTGTCAGTAGTTTAAGATTATATTTATAAAGTATTTATTTCTATTTACATCACAAAAACCCATACACTGGGTTCTGCCCCCGAACAGTGCCTCCCCTGAGCCGGGGAGAGGCTTGGCAGCGGGCTGGTGCCAAGGCCACCGCAGCCCCTCTCTCAGAGACACCTTTCTGGGAGAAGGGACCAAACACGGCGACTGCAGTGCGCTCGCCCTCTCTCCCCATCCTTCCCTCAACCTTCTGCTTTGCCCCCCAGCGCTTAAACTACTTTTCCCAGAAGCGGTGACCAGACCGGGCACCACGTCTTCCCAAGCGAGGCAATTCCTCCCTGCCCCATCTACCTCTGGTGGGGGACGCATGCTGTTTTGGGCGGCCAGGGCACCCACATGCACATGGACGAGCCAACCGCCCGAGCCCCGCGGGATGGTTGTGCCTCACTGAGAACAAGTGTATTTGGGCTCCTTCTTCTGTCCGGTGCCCGAAATGCAGCCTACGTTGGCTGTCCCCATGCTGCCCCCAGGGCCTCCTACCAGACAGCTGCGGAAGTCAGCATTGCCATGGCGGGGAGCATGGAGGCTGGGCAGGCTGTTCCCAAAGCTGGCTGATGAAGCTCCCCAGGAGCCGGGATTCGGAGCAGCCATCCCAGCCCCACGGCTCCTCGCACCCAAAGGCTCTGCTGTCCCCTCCTGCAGGAAGAACAGGGCTGAGGCAGGTGATTGGGCAGTGCAGAGACCAGCGTCAGGGTGGGGATGGTGGGGAGCAGAGAGGCCGGGGCTTCTTACTTTCATAGCTGACGTTTTCATACCCCACACCCCCGTTCCAGAAGTGCAATCCCACCTTCCTCCCCTCGCCTCCATAGGTAACTCAGTCTATGGCTGCAGCACAGCCGTGCTGGCGGGGCTCCCCACAGCCTCCTCCTCCCCAACAAACCCCACACCCATCGCTCACGTCCCTCCTCTCGTCTGTTCGTTGGTCGTTTTGCCGAGCGTGGGTGCTTCACTTCAGGGCTTCCCGAGGGTGGCCCATGCAGCTCCGGGCAGGAAGGCGGGCGCCTTCCCCCGCACATCCCCAGGCCCTGCTGGGCTTCGCTTCGCTGTCACGCATTCACAGCCAACCTTAATTTGCACAGCACGGCCACATCTCGGCCCCACCACCGCACGTCCCCGCGCTGTCCCCTGTGTTGTCGGTGCGGTGCTGGGCAGAGGCCGTCCCTCCACACCGTTTGCTCCTTTGTAAACCCGCGGGGACGCAGAGGACGGGGGTGGCCGGGCGCATCACTCCCCGTTCGGCTGTTTCCCTCGTTGGTAGGATCCCATTTTGGCCCAACTCCTGCCTGGGGGCGAGAGGCTCCTGCGGGCTGAAGGCAGCTCCCGGCAGAGGCCTTCCGACAGGGCCGGGCCCGGTGTCTGCCAGCAACCAGACACCGCTCTGGCGGCCATGCAGGGCTGCGGGCCCGGCTCCGAGGCGTGCCTGAGGCCAGCCAACCTGCAGAGCACGCCGTGGGACCGGGCTCGAGGCCCGCAGCTCGAGGCCCGTTTCAGCCCCGCAGCCTCACGACCCCACGCGGGACCGCAGCCGTCCCCGCCCCGTTCCCGTGCTCCCTCCTCCCCGTGTTGGAGCTTCGGGCCCCGGCCGCCTGCCCGCGCGCCAGGCTTGTTCGGTTCTGAAATAAATGTGGCATTGACGCAGCCGCCTCGAGCCGTGCTTTGCTGGGGGCGCGGGGAGCACCGGGCCGGTGGGGCGGTGCGGGCGGTGGATTCCCTCGCGGCGCCGCCAGAGGGCGCTTCCTTATTCCTCCTCCCCCGCCCCCTCCAAAAGCCGGGCACGCGGCTGGCGCCCTGCCGCCCCGTTGGCCAGAGCGGTATTGATTGGCAGCGCAGTTCCGCTTAGCGATTGGTGAACGCACCTCCTCGTCACCGCCCCACGGCGGCGCGTCGACAAGCGCCGGAGCACTTCCGCCGCCACCACGCCGCTCTCTCGCCGGCTTCCGGCCTTCCCGCGGCCTCCCATTGGCCGTCACGCGGTGACGCCCCGCCCCGCGAGCCTGATTGGCAGGGGCGGGGCGTGGCGGCGGGGCGGGCGGCGTCGGGCCGGGCGCGGTGGATGGACCTGTTCGGGGACCTGCCCGAGCCCGGCGGCTCGGCCCAGGGTGAGGGGGCGGGGGGAGCCCGGCAGGGGGCTGCGCGGCCGCTGCGGGCTGCGGGTGGCCGGCGGGGCCTTTTCTGGAGGCGGGAGGCCGGAGCGTTCGGCGGCGCGGCCTGGAGGCCGCCTCGTCGCGGGGCTGTGAGGGGAGGCCCTGGGGGTGCGGCCGCCGCCCCTCCGCGCCGGGGCCGCTGCTCGTGCCGAGCCTCTCCGGTGTCTTGCAGGGAAGGAGGCCCAGGGGCAGCTTCGGCTCTTCGACGACCTCCCGCCGGCCGGCAGCGCCGACACAGGTAAGGCCCCGCCGTGCCCCTCTTCGTTCCGCGTCGGCGCGCCTCCGGGCTGCAGAGACCTCCGAGCGGAGATTGAAATGCGGCCGCCTTTGGTTGTGCAACTCGTGCCCGTTCTGAGGGGCGTGCAGAGCTTTGTTCCCCTGCAACGACGAAGGTGCTCGCTTTTTGCCTTTCTGTTGTGCTCCAGGAAAAGGAAGCTCTTTGCTCTTCGATGATCTCCCGCCGGCCGGCAGCAGCGATGCAGGTAAGAGGCTCTGTTGGCTCTGCTGGCCCGGCCTTTCCAGCCTCTTTAGAACCGATCTGTTGGTAGGCAGGGCTCTGCATGCAGCCGGATGGTTGCCAGCTCCAGGATGGTTGAGGCTGTATTGTATGGGAATGGGAAAAGGTTCTGATGCCACGGCAGCTGTTTTTAATTGACAGCTTTAGTTTGTGACCTGTGTTCTGAAGTCCATAATGAATACACTGTGCTTCTTCAGAGTAACGATGTATGCTTCCTCGCATTCATTAACAAATGTTAATGAAAACCAAGCAAGACTCTGATCTGGAATGTTAACTGTCTGAACATTCAACTGCAATAAAGGCCAGGAGCTAGGAAATGGTTTGTGGCCTGGGAAGAATCAGATGCCCTCTAGCCGTACCTGGCTGTACTGTGGCTGAGGAAGGGCTGTATGATTCAAGGTGACCACATCTGTGCGTGCTAGGTTAGATAGTGATGTGAGCTACCTGTCACTTAATGCTGCGTGAGCATGAGAGTGCTTCAGTGCAGGAGGGCTTACTGCAGAAGTCCTGCAAATAAAACCAAGCTGGGAGTCCTCAGCTGCCTGCTTTTGTTCTCTTTCAGCCTCCAGCACTCCTGAGCAGGTCTCAGCAGGGAGCCATGCAAAAGGGGAGAAGAGGAAGTCCCTGGAGGAGGAAGAGAAGAATGGCAGGGAAGAACTTGTGGAAAAGAAAGTTTGTAAAGGTTTTCAGACAGTTTGAAAACAAATGTACTCAATTTATACTTTTGACATTTTGCTGAGGGAGTCCAGACTAAAGCTGAGCCTTGGTTCTTCAGTCTGCTGGGATTTGCAACCTCCTGTGGGGAGCAGACTGTGGTGGAAGGAGCCCCTCAAACTCTCTGGCCCTCTGCCTCCCTTACATGGGCCTCCTTACCAGTTTGCTGAAGTGGCAGGAGCTGGGCAGTGTGAGTGCCTTGGCATCTGCAGAGTAAGGGGTTGTGCTGCCAGCAGGGGAACTGGGTGTGAAGCCTCTGGAAGGCTTGACCTACACCAGTTTCTTTTGCCAGATCCACAAATCTCTCTTGAGTGGCTGCTGAGAAAGCCAGAGAGAGAGGCTTATTTGTGTTGACATGTAATACAGTTGACTTCAGTGCAAGTTCCCACGTGTTATGTTCAGCTTTGGGAAACCAGATGTGTTCAGTGGAAAGGAAGTTACATATTCTGGAAACAGCAGAGTTGGCTTTCCTGCTCTCACCCATTCTTTAAAGCTATGCTTTGTTTAATCTTCTGTTTCAGTTGTGCCATTCATTCTCATCTCACCATCTGATAAGGGCCCTCTGTGATGCCCAGCAGTACTGCTTGTGTACAGCTGTCCCCCAAAACAGTGCAGGCTGCTTTTGTAGCTGCTGACCTCGTGTTACAAAACACACTGTGCTCAGCAGAAGGTCCCAGACAGGCTGCTGCAAAGCATGGGCCGTAACTTTGCTGTGTGTTTGTCAAAGCTGAAAAGTGACCATCGATGTGAGCTGAGGCAGTGAGGGAGTTTGATTGGCTGTGTGTCTGTTTGTCTCCTTTAGGGTCAGTGGGCATTCTTGGATTGAAGGGCTACGTGGCAGAGAGGAAAGGCGAAAGAGAAGACATGCAGGATGCACACGTCATCTTGAATGATATCACTGAGGAGTGCCAGCCTCTGCCCTCCCAAGTGTAAGTGAGCCCTGACTGCCAAAGCCAGGGGATAAAGCTGTGGATGGCAGCCAGGTGTGGAGGTGAAGGAGCTCCAGCTTGCCTCACCAAAGCCTGTGGTGTGTGATGGTTTTTGCTTTAAGCAGCTGCTGCTCTTGCTTACAGGCTGCTTTGTGATGTGTGTTTGGGGCTTGTGATTGGGAAATGTGGAGCTAACCATTAGCCCTGTTCCTGAGCATATCACAGAACTAGGTTATATATAAATACCTTCCAGTGGTAGTGCAGTTAGTCACTGACCTCACAAGAACTGTGAGGGCCTGATAACTCTGGATATTGAGTTTCTGTTACCCTCACTGAAGCAGGGATGTTTCGAGACACTGATTTTAATTAAAAGCAATCAGTTTTCACCTTGGGATTATTGCAGAGTGTGAAATCCTAATCTGTGGCAACAAGAGAGTGCTTGAAGAGAACAAATGTTAGAACTCTGTCACCTGAAAAGCTTGATTATCTTGGGAAATAAAATGTAAACGTGCATATATATTTATGTTTAAAGGAGTGCTCTCAAGTGTTGTTCTGATGCTGTGTTGAGCTCCTGAACTCGTGTTCTAAGAGCTTTGTTTGAGGAAGGATCCAAGCTTCCTGTCTGTAACGCAGTTGCAGCAAACTTCAGCCATGCAAAGAGCTGTAGGATTGCTCAGACTGATGTTTGTGTAGTGCTGTAGAGTTGCAGCACCTGACAGGTGAAGTGTTTAGCTGCTTTTATGCCCAGTTGTAGCCTATAAACTACATTATACTTCTCATGTTCTGCAGAGAGAGCAGTTACAAGGATGTATTGCTTGTAAAACATGAAAATCCTTGACTGCCTGAGCTTTGGAACTTGTTACCTCTGCTTGTGCCTCAGAGTGCAGCATTTCTAAGGCTGGCTGAGGTGGGGCAGGGTGTTATGGAACAAATGTATCCAGTCCTGCCTTCTAGCTAACAGCCCTTCTTGTTCCCTCCCAGCACACGTGTCTCATACTTTGCTGTTTTTGATGGCCACGGCGGAGTCCGAGCCTCAAAGTTTGCAGCACAGAATCTGCACCTCAACCTGATCAAGAAATTTCCAAAAGGTGAGAGAGAGGAGTGTGAGGGCTGTGGGACAAACGGCCACCTTTTGTGCTGCGAAGCTGTGGCTGCTGCTTAAGGGGATGGGTTTGTTGGGGTGCAGTTGTGCAGTTTCCGTTCCTTATTCCAAATGGGCCTGTGTGCACAGAGACCATGCTGCCTCTTGGGGAAGGGAGTTGGAAGCCTTTTTTGGAATGAAAGTGCAAGCAGCCAGTATTGAACCACTAACCAAGCCTGAGATGTTCTGTTGCCAAGCTTGGCAGTGCTGCTTTGTGAGAAAAGGAAAAGTAAAAAATATCCTCACTGCAGGGGAAGGGGTTTGTCGTAACTTCTGTACACGTGTTATCAGGCAGACTGTAGTGGCGTGAGCCTGGGATGTTCCTCAGCTGCTGTGTGCAGAATCTGCCCAATGTGCTGCCATCTGTTCTGTGTGATGGGCTGGATATGTCTTAGCAGGAGCTTAGTTGCTGTTTTCCCTGGCAGGTGAGGTGGTCAGTGTGGAGAAAACCGTGAAGAGATGCCTTTTGGACACCTTCAAACATACAGATGAAGAGTTTTTAAAGCAGGCATCCAGTCAGTAAGTGTAAATGCTTCCTGTGAGGAACATAACCAAGAATCCACTCTGCACCTACCAGAGCATCCTGCTTGCCTTCTCTTTAAAGACTTAACGTGTTGCTGAAGTGATGCATCCCATACTGTGTGAGCTCTTGCTGGGTTGTTTGGTTTTTTTTTTCCCAGCTCTAATTTTTAGAACAAAACTGATAAACACAGGTACTTTGTGGGCAAAATGCCAGCCTATCTCCTTGCTGGGTTTTGAGTGTAAATGCTCTTGTCTTGTTCTGCCTCTGCTAGGCTGACACACCAGCTGTGGTTTGTGAGTAAGTAGGGTACAAATTGGTAAGAAAATGATTGTATTTCAAACACAGGCCTTTACACTTCTTGTCTGCTTCTTAATGACACTTGTGGCACAGCTGGAGAGACTGCTGCATCTGAGATGCCCTGCAATTAAAAATTGGCTGTTTCTTAAGGGACAATAGGAAGAAGTTTCCTGGAGTCTGTTACAACAGCATCACCCCTAAGGCAGTCTGTTTGGTCAGAAACGTGACAGAGCTACTGCAAAGAATTCCTGTGTAGCAGCAGCTGTGTTGATGGTGACATTTCATGGTGATGCACGTTTTCAGCAGCACCTTCTAAATCAGGAAAAAATGACTGAAATCAGTCTCTCA